AAAAAAATATTATTTTAATATTTTTTAAATAAAAAAAAATTTAAAAATCACATTCTTAAACTTTTGGCTACACCCATATTTTTGTGGCCTTGGTTTTTCAAATAAGATCTTTTTAGTTTTTTTTTATAAAAAGCCTATTTTCTTGTCAGCAGCCATATTATTGTTCTTGTTACTGATATATTTATTGAAAAATAAATTTTTTATATTTAATAATATTATAAAAAATAAGTTGAGATAGAATTTGACTATTGAAAATAAATTAAAAATATTTTAAGAACATTAAATATAATATTTAATTTGACCAATTATAATGAAAAAATGAGATATAAAAAGTATAATAATACGAAAAAAATTATTATATCATATATTTATATTCAGTTTATTTTATAAAATGTAACCATACATATAATATAATATTTTAAATATAATATTATAGACATATAACTATTTTTAAATTGGTGTTTGGAGAACATTAAAAATAATTGTTTTCTATGGTATTCTAATTTTATAACACGATTTTATATGATTTAAAATGGATAATTATTGTATAATATAACATATTTTGTATTCGAATGTATTTCTTAATTAACAATATTATCTAAATTAAAATATTATATGAACTAATATATTAAATTAATATACTTTTTATATTATATGATAATATATCCTATTATATTATTTCATATATAAATATATTATTAATTTATTATTTTCTAATAATATTATTTTCATATATATATATAAAGAAAAAAAATGAATATATATATATATAAAAAGAATAATAAAGTATTATATAACCACCTTATTTTTTTGGTGCTTCATGAATTGAGAAGTATTTTTCAATCTTTTAAACTGAAAAATATTTTCCTTCATCTAAAATTTATGTTTTTTTTACCGGAAAATAAATTATGTTGGTCAGTTTTCTACAATATAGTCAATTATTAAAAAACAAAATCAGAAAAACACTTTCCAACCATCATTAATTAATCATGGTGACTAATGGCCTTTGTGAATTCTTTGGAAGTGGACTCCCACAGCTTCCCCTGGCTGAAAACCTCACCTTAGCTTTTGAGTAATTAGAGAAATACCCATTTTGCTTGTATAACATCTTCTTCTTCTTCTTCTTCTTCTTCTTCTATCAATCCATGCAAACACCTAAAATTAGTTTTTACTTGTTACCATATTTTTGCTTGAAATGTTTACTTTTTTCCTGTGGCATTGCAGATGGGTTAAAGCCTTGAAGGCATTCTGAGATTTCTTACACAGCAAAGATTTATGGTTGTGAGCCAGTTGTAGGAACAGAAACAGTTCTTGACCAAACAGCATACAGAGGAGAAGTTTCTGTTACATTATTACATCTTAACTTTAGGGGAGTGATCATCATCACGCTTTTGCCTGCTCCAAACAACTGGGTCATTATACCTGCCAAATTATGGCCAAAACAACAAATGAAAAACAAATTTCAAGTCAAAAACAAATTCAACCTGTAGCCAAACACATGAATATAGCTGAGCTTTGCCTGGATCTTAATTCACCAATGATAAATAACAGACATATGCCGATTGCTGGAGGAAGTGTGAATTGAAGCAGAAGAACAAACTTATACAGAGGATCAGAGTGCAACAAGCCAAAAAGGACTGCATATTTAATGATAAGTGCTCCCAAAATCGCCATAATAATATACCGGACTGCCACTATTCCGACAAGCACCATGGGTGGCACCTTTGACCCTTTCAAACCTAAAAGCATCAACGGTGATCATTATTTCCATGTTTCCAACAATTCTACGAGTGAATGAGAAGGCGTTTGACAACATTCAAAATGGTTAAGCATACCCTCCAGAAGATTTGCTCCTAAAATCGAAGTGACAGTTAGAATAGCTGACTGCCAGCAAACATGAAAGGAGTACAAGGGAAACTTGTTAGATGCTGATAATGAAACTAGTTACATTTTTGGTTGATTCAGAATCTTCATATCATAAAAAATAGGATACTGACCCGAGCAAGTATGCATTGCAGAGTCTTCAACCGCATGAAAAAGGGGCCAATCACCAATGAATTACTTATGGGAGGGATGATACCAATGATAAATCCAATAATCTGTAACAATATAGCAGTAAAGGGGATCAATCCTTACATCAACATGAAACTAATTTGAAGGTCTTATTGTCCATGTGGAATTTCGTAGAAAATTTGAGCTCAATTCAATGGTGGGATCAAAAGTTATGCCAGGTTGCTTCACTCAAATTATTCGGCAACACCAAGCCTCTTCTTAGTTTTGGACCTATCCATCCAGTTCAAAAATAAACATACTAGGCTTTCACGTGTTCCTAATATAATAAATCTTTTGTTGATCAATCAGAACCTCTTGCATTAAGGACTCTCTACTGCCTATGTTGTGACTCATCTGCTGCTGTTTTCTTGCTTTCCTAACACATCTTACTCTGTTGCTTTCTCACCCAAAGGAAGCTGAAAGCAATTTTTGTCAGCTGACAGGGGCTTATTCTGCTGAACTTCCCCTGCCGGAGCTGCTGCTATTTTTGTAGGCTTACTTTGCCTTCTGCTGCAGTGCTTTTTATCTTCCAGGAACTAAAATGAAAAAAGTTAAAAGGATTTTATTTGACAGAAAAAGTTCAATATTGGTGGTGGTTTTTCACCTTCACCTTCCCAAAAAAATCAAATGAGGTTCGAGGTCTTTTTTTTAGACTAGTTTATTGTTATTTTGAATTGACAGATTGATTTATAGAGATTGCTATTTTAGACTAGTTTATACTAGTTCGAGGTCTCTCATATTTTTAAAATTGTTTTGTTTATTTTTGTAAATAGTAATTTTGTTTATTTTGTATTTTATAATGTTTCAAAGAGATTATTGTAATTTATATTTTTTAATTTGATATAAATAAGATATATTTTTATGATTTATATTATAAAAATTGTTTGTTATTAATGAGAAAATATTAACATCTAAGATAAAATATATATGCATAAATCCAAAAGAAATGTGGTATTAAATATCTCAATACTTATCTAAGTAGCATTAATAACTCTTTCACGGCTTTTAAAATTAGTAAAAACTAAATAAAGAATCACTGGAACAATTAAAGTTATAATTTAATTAATTCTCGGATGTGTGGTTTAAAATTATTGAGTTGTTTGTGATTTATTTAAAATTAATGTTTCTAAGAAAGAAAATAAATTAATACTCTTTTGCATTTTCAAGAAAGAATTAAAAGAAGAGTTTTTTCTTGATCCGAAGTCGACCCCAAGTTGAAAGCAAGCAATCCTTTTCTAAGAAGAAGACTCGACGATCACTCCTGTAAATAAATATAATTTGCTGCCCCCTCTCCCGCAAAATATCAATTATTTTAGGGTTTTCTTTTTTCTAATCTTGTTCGGTTTAAGTTTTTCTTACGTGCCCATATATATAACCCTAGCTAGTTCAACATATTGAGATATCTGACGGTTGCTATTTGAAAATTTTCTGGTAGTGCTCTTTTCAGTTTTCTGTTTGATTTTTTCTTCGTTATTCAGTCAGTTTTACATTATCTTCCTCAAAAGAGATCAATCAATTAAGTCTTATCAGCCATGGATGTACGTCAAAATTCAGTGTATTCTGCCAAACTTGCTGAACAGGCGAGACGCTACAATGAGATGTTGGATCACATGAAGTATATTGCAAAGCTTGACGTTGAGTTGACAACCGAGGAGCAGAATTTGCTACGTATTGGATGCAAGAATGTAATGGGCGCAAGAAGAGAATCATGGAGAATGCTTTCATCCATAGAGGAGAAGGAACAAGCCAAAGGGAACGAAGTTAATGCGAAGAGGATCGAGGAGTATAGACGGAAGGTTGAGTCCGAACTCACTAGTATATGCAACGATATCATACAACTGATTGATGATCATCTACTCCCTTCAACTTCCCAGTGTGAATCCTGTGTCTTCTATCATAGGATGAAGGGAGATTATTACAGGTATCTAGCAGAATTCAAGGTTGGCATCGAGATGGAGAAGGCTGCTTCAGAGTCAATGAAAGCATATGATGTAGGCATTAAAGCTGCATCCAAGTTGGCTCCTACAAATCTCGTTCGATTGAGTTTGGCTTTGAATTTCTCAGTGTTATTGTATGATATCATGAAGTTTCCTGAGAAGGCTTTCTTTCTTGCTAAGAATGCTTATGATGAGGCTATCCCAATACTCGAAAATTTGAATAAGGAATCACAGAAAGACAGCATGTTGATATTGGAGAGTCTTCTAGACAACGTCAAGTTGTGGAGTTATGACGTCTTAGATAATTGAGATGATTCTTATAGCAATTGCAGGAGTTAGTTCTTAGGTTGATGATTTTTAGGTGAAATGCATGCTGTTTCAGTTCTTTTTTTTTTTTTTTTAAATATGCAATTCTATTTGAGTTGCATCTCAGAACAATTTTGTTTTTAGCAGTAGCTTGAATATGATTGTCCAACCTAGCTTATCTAGAGGACCTAGATTGAATAGCTGTGGGCCTCAAACTTCCCATTGCACGCGCACAACTAGTCCACTTAAGGTACTAACAAAAAAAAAAAAATTACAGCACCTCTGTAAGATTTCAGGGAACTTCCTTTGTTGTTTTTGAACAATGAGTTGTGTTTTCAGCTCTAGATCTCGCTAGCAATGTGACTAGAAGATGTTCTTCTAGTATTTTATCTTCTAGTATTTTGCTATTGTGCTTGTGGCTTCCTGCATCGGAAGGCCTTGATATAGTTGCTGAATCTGATATTTCCTGCTGCTGATATAATGATTTGTGTATCAACAGTCTTGGTTATCTTGACAGTTAGCTTAACACAAGGGCGAAATGGCTTTTTTATTATTATTATTTATTTTCTATATGGTGCTTTTTAAATTAATATTGTGACTGAGCAATAAAGAGTAAGGAATGGATTGCCAGGTTCTATGTTAAAAGCACGTAATGCAACCTGGCTCTGGCTCTCTTGTACACTACTGGGATCAAAGAGGTGGCTTTGGCTCTTGCAAATGAAACCCAGAGATTTGAGGCTTCGTGTTCCTCTTCGTACTAGCTCTGTGATTAGAAGTTACTTTCTATCATTCTCTGAATAACAAAATAGGTCCCAAAAAAATGAGAAGAAAAGGAAATTAATTACAGAGGGCATTTCAAAATCACAAACATGCTAGTACTGAAATCTTAACTATAACATCAATAAGCACAGTGAACATGGCATATCTATCTTTGGTACAACAAATTATCTTAACCGAATTTGGTGGGCAACGTTTGAAGTTTGGTCCATCATATGGGGCGGCCAAATTACAAGAACTTGCAAGTGCTGCCATCACAAGAAGCTGCGGAAACTCTTTCATTGTCTGAGAGTAGCTTCCCATTGCCTGGTACGTTTTTCATCAAAATTCTGCATCAAGTGTCATGGCAGTCAAGTATGCTCTGTACAAGATGACAGGACTGTTAAAAGCGCGCAGGTAAAAGTTGTCGACGCAAGAGCTAGTCAAGTTATGTGCACAAAACCAAAAACCACTCGTATGGGCAACAAAAATCAAAAGTGAAGTCAGCATAGAAGTTCATGCGTTTTTGCCACGTTGACAAAGGCATGCAATTGAATTCTGAAAGATCATTTAAAGCGTGACAATAACAAATAGGCACCCTACAGATACAAACAAAGACATGGGCAGATTTTATATATGTTATTTATAGTTATTTATTTTTATTCATTTTGCATGAGAAAAGAAAGATTAGTCTTTCTTTTTCTGGTAGGACACTGCTTTCCATTCAAAAACAATTAAATGCATTTGAAAGTGCGTTGCATTTTATACCTGCATGCAAGGTCCGGTTCATACCTGTCCTGCTCAAGCTAACATCTGCAGGTAATCTAATTTTGAGCTTGATGTCCATCATTTTCACTGGACACCGATGAGATGCCATGCTCAATACTCTGGATAGTGAAAACAATTAGCAAGGAGAGATTTAGAAAAACAAGATAAGCTGGTCAAGGAGAAACTAGAAGAAAATCAACTGCTAATATGTTGAGGGTGTTAAATAATATTTATGTAGTCTTATTTCTTAAGGGTAGAATAGTACTTTCAGTTTAATCTATATATACTTTATTTGTATTTAGATTAAGATTAACCATTCATAATATACATATTATTCAGAATTCTAGCCTTCTTTTTGTGTTTGATCTTAATTATTCTAACAGAGTGATCATTTTCTAATGTTCAAGGAAACAAAAACAAGTCAGCAAAACTGGTGACACCCGATGCTTGAATGCTATTTCTTATTGTCCACAGCACTGGAAAGAAATGGATGAATAAATCAATCAAAGACAAATAATTCCTAATTTTTGTCAAACCTAACCATAATCTTTGGTGAAATGCTACCATGCCATTGGAGAACTAAGAAAGGAAAACATACAAATAGAAAGAATGAAATGTACAAGATGAAGAAGATGAGAACTATTCAGAAGATAATGAAGCAGTAAATCAACTGCCTCACACTCAAGGACAGCAGCTTTTCAAATTCCTTGCTGACATGGGAGGGCAACAGCAATACAATCTCGGAACAGGCAGTTGATCCCCAAGGCATCCAATTTTCCAGGTGAACAACATGTTTGGTGGTCAACGCATTTCAGATACACAAAGCTGATTAGAAAACTTTACCTGAAGAAGATAGCCATGCAGCCAATCCAGTATTTGAGGGAATGTTGTGGCTGATATATTGGCAACAGTCAGACCCTGTTCCAAGAAAAACTTGATGTATTTTAGGACGAAAAGAAAGGGTGGGGAAATGTTACTTATAGAACTTTCAAACACATAGTTAAAGTTTAGAGCAGTCGATCTCAGTCAGCTGGTAGAATGACATTCAGAAACAAATGACACTAAGAATAAAATTATACAGTCACCACCCTATTCTTTCTGTGAGATGTTAGTTGTTTTCTTCATTTCTTTCCTTTGAAGCTCAAGTAACCTGACAAGTAAGAGCACATTTGGACAAACTGAAACACTTACCTTTCAAACAGAAGAGAAGAGTCATATCAAGTAATTGAAATAGATCACCCAGCCCTGTTCATATGACTCCTCACTTCAATTTAAATCAACCATAATGCTCTCCAGCCCAGATCAAAATCTAGTGCCCAAGCATGACAATGATTCATGGAATTTGTATATTGCTATGGCCCAAGCATATGATATCATGAATAACAGTTCCCCCAATTTTTCGTCAATAATTTTCATTGTGCAATTTCACAAAACATGTACCTGATTTCATTGACTTTATGGTCCAAATTAGCTACTTGGCCATGTCGTCAAATACAATAAATCTAAAAACAAGACATCAAAGCAAAACTTGTTCTCTATCAACATCATAATCCAACTTTTGAGAGCAATATTACTAAATTTAGAATCAGTTATTTCAAAATTATTAATAAAGAAGCAAAGCCACAAAACTCTATTGCATGCTGTTAACCAACAAACACACGTGGAGAAGCACACCTGTGACTTGAAAGAGCAAAGGTAGTCCTGAATGATTTTCAAATTGGTAATTAACCTTTCTTTTTCCTGAAAACATAAAACATGTATATGTAAATACTCTGAATAAAGTTCAACAACAAATTATTTATTGGAAATAATGAAAAACAAGACAATCAGATGAACATTTGTGAAATCAGTGAAGAATCAACACAAGGATATGGAATGAAAGAAAATCAATCGGAAAATTCTTTCTAGAAAATCTTGCCTCACTTTTGACCTGAACAAAGCAGCATAAATGTTTCTCTTCAATACTACTACAATATGCTTTTTACCAGGCAACTGCACAATGGTCAAATAATTTATAGGAATACCTATATAACCAATGTATTAAAATTTATATTTTGCTAAGAAAAAACTGAAAAAATTTTATATTCTATATTTTTTTCGTGAGCAAGCAAAGTGTTGAAACTAGAAGCTCGTAAGTGAGATAATACTAAGGTAGGCTTTTATTTATTGAAGTGGATAAGGAGGTACATGTCCAGCCAGCTTCCATGTATTAAGCAAAACAAAAGTGTTAAAGAGGGAAAACGAGAAGCTATTATCTGTCATCTTAATCCAATCCAGAATTATTTGAACTTGGCAACATCTTGGTTGCTTTTGTAATTTTCTATCGTTGATGCACTTCACTGCGCATGAATATGTCCAGGAGTTACTGCATTTTCCATCTATTGTTGATCCACTTCACTGCTCATGAATATGTCCAGGAGTTACTGCATTTTCCATTGACGCTTTATCTTATTACCATTCATTGTTTTCTCATGCTACCCATTATGCTAGAATTTTCAAATGCCTTCTATCTTTAAATTTCAAAAACTTGAAAGTGCTTCATCAGTGTCATTGACCATCAATTGACTTGTGCTTCTATTTTTATTTTTTTTGCACTTGAATGAAAAACCATGTTACTTCTACTACTTGCACTAATTAACCACATTTTCAACCAGATCTGTTAAGGTATTGGCTACCAATGAGATAGCCTCTCACATCCCCTAAATTCCCACCCATCCATCCCCAGATATGTATGTACCTGACAATGTGAGGCCTCCTATTTGGAAACCTGAGTATAATCATGGATTGTCTCACTGATTGTTTGCTAATTTTTAACCCTTTTAACTTACTAAAACTTAGTGAATTGCCCAAGTTTGACATGGGCAAATGACAACAAGAACTCAGCAGCCTTTGGTACCTCAACAGGGCATTTATCACTAAATGAACGAGTTGAGATCCACTCCTCAAGTAATGCCTGCACACGAGAAGAAAAGATTGATAGACAAGACAAATAATAAGGATATAAGATTAAATATGCAAACTTGAGAAAGTGAAAAATAATGTAGTGAAAAATAATGTGGGAGGGAAGTGGGACAAATATAATTCCAATATAGGAACAATGTACCATCAATTTGATAAATAATGAGGGAAGGGAAGTGGAACTATATAATTCTGATATAGGAACAAGTACCATCCATTTAAATCAAGAATATGAAGAAATTTTTGACACATCAAGAATAGAAGCACAAACCTTATGGTCGAATTCAGCCATCTTCAGAACTATTGGTATAATTATTGGTTCGGGACCAGATTTTAAGCTAACAGAAGTCTTTCTATCTCCCTCAAGACCTTTAGCAGTTTCACCTGCATGAACAAAAATCCAGGAATGGAAACTGTCACCCTTAAGTCACTCATGCATGCATTCCAACTTGTCATCAAGCAAAATTACAAGCTAGAATTTGTCATCAAGGAAAATTATAAGTTAAAAGAGACTAATAGAATACTGGGCTTGTTATCAAAACCCAGAGTGAGAATCACCTTTATTGTCAACAATGCTTCCAGCTTTATCTCTAGATCCCTGAGAATCCACAACTTTATTCACCTGGTTAACAGATTTCCCTTCTTCTGAGGCCAAATCCCCAAAAGTGCTGTTGATATTTTCAGTACGATTTCTACTAACACTTGTGGAATTATTTTCCATCTGTCTTGCAGGATTGTCATCTGGAGTCACTGAAACAGGGTTCATCTCAGATTTTTCTGGCATTTTAGCTGATAATTTATTTTCTTCATCCATCAAGTAAATGCTTGGATCCAAATGTATCCCCTATCATTATTTGTCAGAAACAACTGCAGATCAGATAGGAGTGCTTGGAAACATTACCATGCCTATCAATCTGATAACAAGCATCTCAAAATTTAACAAAATGTTTCCACCAAAAAAAAAAAAGTTTGTGTATTAACAAGTCAGTTTAACAGTCATTTCAGTTTTTTTTTGTTTTAGTCACAACCTAATTGCACCAGATCTGAACACAAATCCTCTCTTGCACTACCTCAACTTAGGCAGCAGCATCAATAGCTGGTCAGAACTACACTTTTTTTCTCTCGCTCCCACAGGGAATAACAGAAGGCATAATTTCTCATCTTTTCAACATCAATTAGTTCCCAATCATCTTCTTTTCTTTTATAAAGAAAATATTATTGAAAAGAGACTACAAGATTATGGAAGGAGGATAAGAAATCACCCTTAAGAGAAAGTGCAAATGATACAAAATTGAAACAAATTAGCCCTCCTGTGCCATTAAAAGTCAAATAAGTAAGGCCCCTTCAAAAGCCCCAAAAGGAATGTACAACAAGCCCAAGGAGACTACACAAACAATTTTACAGTTTCGTTTTATCTGAAGACTCAAATCATTGCAATGGTACCATACTTTCCATAGTATCACAACATAAGACCATTTAACGTATGGTTTGTTAGAATCTTTAGCAGAATGAATGACAGCATGCGTGTAGATGGTGGATATTATACAGCAGAGTGATCAACAAAGAAATAGGTGTTGACTGGAAGTTTTGATGGAACAGTCTAATCTACAACCAACATAAAAACAGAAAATTAGACATACCTCAATTATTATTGGCTTTCCATCTTTCATCGCTTTCTTCAAATCACCAGCCAAACCTTAGAAGCAAGCATTAAATTAACAAATCAAAAGCCTACACGCTTGCAGAACATCTAGCAAAATTTAAACAATTTCCAGGAGAACAAAGAACACCTTTGAAATCCAAGAAAAAAAATTACAACCACCATGAACATGAAACAAGTTGGAGAGGGAAAAGAGAATTATTCAAATAAGAAAGGAGATCAAAGAAGCACGATGGCAAAATTGACAGACTACCTTTACGAACAATTCTGCATTCTCTACAAAATTCAGTGATTAACTCCTCAGAAGAGCTGAATTCTCGTGCCCATACAGGAGTAGAAGCCAATGGTGCACTGACTCAGATAAAGAAAGGGAATAAGTGATCTTGTACTGTCCATGGAATAAAAAGAATAAGCGATTCTGTACTGTCCAGAGAATAAAAAGAATAAGAGCTAGCTAGCATGACCAATAATCTTCATCATAGGATACAATATAATGTACTGGAGACAACAATATAGTGTCAAAAAAATTGAAACCTAGTTATATATAGTTTCTGAGTCCTTATTCCAGTCAACAATGTCTATGTTTGTAGTCAGGAATCTTCCTTATTATAACTTTCCTTGCTCCTTTTTTGGATGGCTCAGTATGCTGCTGATATTCTTAATTCCTCTAGATAGAAATGCTTCTAAAATCAGAAATAGAAACCATGGAATTAAAAATAGAAAGGGAATAAACATACTCAGTTGACGTTCGCAGCAATTCATACACCATATCTGTCTGCGACATTAAAAATTAAAAAAAAAATCCCATATGTTTCAAAGGCATCATCAGTATTGAACCCAAACAAATTGATACATGAAAAGACAATAAGGAAGGCAAGATGCTTCATGGCTAGGTGGAAGGCAGCACCTGTAAGACATTAGGCAAATTCAGCCGTTGTGCGAGTTGGGTAGCTATGGTTGACTTCCCAACACAGGCAGGTCCACAAACAAGGATCACCAACGGCACTCTTTGATGATGAAATCTAAAAGCATATGACCAGGGAAAAAATCATTTTTTTTCTTTTTCAACATAAAATCAGCAAAAACCTTTCATCTGTCATTTAATATGAAGAAAGTGATAATAAGGCAATAAAACTTCTGTGCGCGGATACTGTGGGTAGAGCTCTAAATTACCTCGTCATCATCTTGTAACGATTTATGTACTCTTCTCCATACCCCCGCCGCTCCATAAGCTGCAAATAGACTCCTATGTATGAGGAGGGAGGAGGGCGTATGAAACTAAATCCAATATTCAGAAAAGTCTCAAAAGTATTCTAGTGCTCAGTGTAGTCCCTCCATTACGGCCATAGAAAGAAAATGGCATGCTAAACTCCTCTTATATAGCAGATTATGCCACTTGCTATCCATAGCCACCTAAGAATTGTAAAATAAAAGAAGGAAAGGTCACATACCTTGAATAGATTAGCTTCCAAATCAGACTGAGAGCTGCCAAAATAATACAAGAGGTTGCCCATTAGTTGAAAAAAAAAAATGATCAGTGAAAAACCTTCAAATATAGCCATGGGGTACATTTTAGACTTTACGCGACTACTGCATAAAAGGATAAAAAGAAAGAAAAGGGAAGATTGTCATTACACGTCGAGAAGGCTGTTATCAATGAGCAGCTTCTTGAGCTCAAGAGCAATTTTAATAGCTACATGATTCGGTATCTGAAATAACCCACACACAGAATAAAACAAACCCAAAACCTTAGTCACGATCATCTTCTCAAAACCCACAATTCAAATGTAATATTCGGAGAGAAAAACCCAACCAACTGTTCATCATCCACACTATATATATATAGGTAATTCCAGGAAAAAAGAATTTAAATAAAATTGAGAGAAGTAAATAGTTGGAGACCTTAGTGACAGTCAACATTCTGCTGAGCAAGAATCTGGATAAAACATAGTAGTGATCAGCGTTATCACCTAACCACACCCTCACCTGAATTTATTTATTTATATATACCAAACAGGAAAAAAAAACAATCAATTGAATTAGATTGAATTAAATAAGGGGTGGCGTCTGTTTTATTTTGGTTTTCAAGAGCAAGAACAACGGGGGGCTGACCTTGACAAAGTCATATTTAGAGGAAGCATTTCGGGAAGAGAAACTTGGGAAAGCGGAGAATCGTTTGTTGTTTCCGGAGTGATCGAAGCCGTCTTCTTCTTCATCATCTTCTACGCCACTGTTGTGATTGCTGTAATTAGGGCTGGTTGACATCACCACTTCCTTCCCTTTGCTCATCTTCAATATTATTCACTGTCACTGCTGCTGCATAAAAATGTTACACAAGACTTCACTGCTTTCTTTCTGTCTCCGGTCTCCGATCTCCGATCTCTTCTTTTCCTCCTCTGCCACGGACGCTGATGTGAAAAACTCCCTCCCCCCTCTCTCATAAGAATTTTAGGCACGGCTGGTCAAACCTTCAATTTTTAAACTTCATTACTAGTTAATTCAGAGGTGGTGCAGCAGTGTTTATTTTTTAAAATATTTTTTTAATTAAAATAGTATTTTTTATTTTTTAAAATTATTTTTTATATTATTATATTAAAATAATTTAAAAATAATTTAAAATTTAAAAAAATATTGTTTTAAATGACGTTCCAGACAACCTCTAAGAAAGATTTTTTTTGTTTTCCAAAATCAAAACTTCTACTTTGTTTGGAATTCACCTTGAATATATTTTTTTATTAAAATTAAAAAAAATACTTCAAATTAATTTATTTTTAGTGTATTTTTATAATTTTAATGTGTTAATTTCTAACTCGTGACAGTTTATAACTTCTGTGATTTTTAAAATATTATTTTAATTTATTTAAAAAAATTAAATAATTTTTACCACGTAGCCTTGAAAGCACAAGTGAAGGTAGGATTCGAACAAGACAGTCAGTATCCATGTGTCAAGATTTCTAGAGCATCTTAGTTATTAAACTTAGCCTAACCAAGTTGGATCAATCCAAAAACCGGTTAACCAGCTTGGTAAATTAATTTGATTTTTTCCAAAAGACCCAGCCAGATAAACAAACGAGGAAGAGGAAAACACTAAAATAACTAAATAGAATCGGCCGATTTTTTGGAGACTAAATTGAATCATTTGATTGGCTATAACACATCCGTCTTTAACAACTAAAGTTCTTGTACATTTGTTCCTGACTACGAGATCTAAAAAAAAGTTTGTGGTGCGAAAAAAAAGCACAGCACTTGTCTTTTGATTTAGAAATTATATAAAATTAAGACGTGCGATGTTTCTATTGTACGTGAATATTTATTTTATAAATTATTATGGATTAAAATAGTTATTTTTTATAAATTTTTAATTTGATTTTTAATTTTTTTTTTGGGCATGAGTGTGCACTTCTCAGCTAAAATCAATGGTCAATCACATAAATTTTTTAAGAGATAATAAAATTAAAATATCAAATATAAAAGTAAAAAACATGAAGAAAATAACCTCAAATTTCATTCAAAAAAATAGCTTGGTCCCTCTCCTTTTCAATGATTGATCCCTATAGTTATTATAAATTCAAATTCGATATTATACTCTATTTTCTTTATTTTTCAACTCATTTTTTGGTGAGAGGAGAGAGACATTCATCGAAAACCGGTGTAGAAAAAAAAAGTTATCCTTAACATCAATTTTAACCACTAAAATAATTAAAATTAGTATTAATAGGATTTATTCGATAAAGAAGATCTTGTAGTGGTTGTTTTTAGTCTTGATAAAAAATCATATCTAAGTTGAAAATAAAAAATTTTATTCAGGTTGATTTTGTGATTTAAATCTTTTTTTTTAGTTTATTAGGTTGATAAGTTGATTTGTTAATATTTTAAAAGTATTTTCATATTAAAATGGATGTTTTGAATAAAAAAATAACTCATGATCTTGAATTTTTGTCATCACAATGACGACCAGATTCTAGGTTAGCATATGATATATTGTTTATCTCAATATGTAACGAGTCATATATAATAGTTATTTTTTATAAATTTTTAATTTTTTTTTGGGCATGATTGTGCACTTCTCAGCTAAAACCAATGGTCAATCACGTAAATTTTTTAAGAGATAATAAAATTAAAATATCAAATATAAAAGTAAAAAACATGAAGAAAATAACCTCAAATTTCATTCAAAAAAATAGCTTGGTCCCTCTCCTTTTCAATGATTGATCCCTATAGTTATTATAAATTCAAATTCAATATTATACTCTATTTTTTTTATTTTTCAACTTATTTTTTGGTGAGAGGAGAGAGACATTCATCGAAAACCGGTGTAGAAAAAAAAAGTTATCCTTAACATCAATTTTAACCACTAAAATAATTAAAATTAGTATTAATAGGATTTATTCGATAAAGAAGATCTTGTAGTGGTTGTTTTTAGTCTTGATAAAAAATCATATCTAAGTTGAAAATAAAAAATTTTATTCAGGTTGATTTTGTGATTTAAATCTTTTTTTTTAGTTTATTAGGTTGATAAGTTGATTTGTTAATATTTTAAAAGTATTTTCATATTAAAATGGATGTTTTGAATAAAAAAATAACTCATGAACTTGAATTTTTGTCATCACAATGATGACAAGATTCTAGGTTAGCATATGATATATTGTCTATCTCAATATGTCTCTCTTTTTTCTTAAAAATTTTAAGATGGATATCCAACCAAATTAGAATTTTCAGGTCTAGGCACGTGGTCATGCAAACTCGTGATTTGAATTGCCAGAAGCCCAATCACCACGAAAGTTTTCAAATCGATGCAAACTCCGTTAACAGTCTTGCCAAAAATCGACGAAGCTACCACTGATGCTTGATAACTTTAGCTACAATTAGATTACTTTCCAAGCAATACATGCTATAAACCATAAGCATGAACCGGGAAATAAGCTGTGCATTGTGTATTCAACATTCTGAAGACCAGTTATCTAGGTCTAATTACAGAATAAATAGTTGGTATTTCGTTTGATATAACACCTGATCCCTTTCCATGCAACGACGGAAGCATGATATAACCTCTCTCAACATCATGTTCACCGGCTTCATGAACATAGATGATTACAAGATTATACAGCATTTCAAAACAAAATCAGGAACCCTCAAAAAGTAGCTGTGTGAATCATCTGCGTATAATGATCGAGGCGTGGATTCTTCTTGAAAAATTTGCCTCCTTTCTTTCCCATGCCAGTCCCCATAAGACTTGATGCAAGAAGAGATCTGGTATCTGGCCTCCATCTCAACTCTTTAAGAACAGAGAAAAAGGTTGAAAGAGCTGGAGAGATTTCACTATCCTTTATGTTCTTGCATGACTCTATTCTAAAATGTTGAAGTTCATTCCAGGTAAGAAGTACTGATTCCAAGCCTTCTGTTGTCAACAAGGAGCATCCTTCCAGAGATAATAACTTTACCTTCCTGTAAAATAATAAAGTACACGCAACCATTTATATCCCAACCATGTAAACTTCACTATACAATCATAGCCCATAAACATCAACTGGCTACAGCATAGTCTTCCAATTATAGGTGTTTGCCAAGTAGATTATTCAATCCAAGTAATTGTCAAAACGCCAGTCCATCAACCATCAAATAAGCTTCACTGTAAAATTATAGGCTTTCTTTTCCTGTGTAGTTGAACCAATGAATTATTTCGCTTTTCTTGTCTTTGCCCTGTCGAACTAAATCTACACTGGGATTTTTCTTGTGACTGTTAGACTAAGTTATTAGTAGAATTACATCAATTTCTTTTACAATTTTGGCGCAGTCATCATTGCTGCGGAGAATCTAGCATTCAGGTGCATCTAACAGTAATCAAAAGTTAGTACTGTCACTAATTTCAAATCCAACAGCACCAGTTAAGTTTTTCTGGAAGTTTGGTTGAGATTACTTGTGAAAGTATTCAAAATAATCAAAAAAATATATTTTAAAAAAATATTTTTAATATTAACACCTTAAAACAATTAAAAAATATAATTGAATCGTAAAATAAAACACCACCTAAGTGCGTGAGTGTGGCCCATCCAGACAGGCAGTTAAATACAAATGATTCACTATCAATTTCAACTTCGTAAGCCAGAGCATATCAACTACGCCCATTATTGGAATAGCTAAAAATGCATATACGAGCTTTAATGGATGTGCAACAGAATAAGTTCATCTGCAATAATTCAAGAACCTCTATAATTGTTAATATGTACGCTGAAGGACTGCAATAATTGAATACCTTACAACCATTACCAGGCATCGAAAGCAATCAAAAAAACTTAGAAATAACTCATTACCTGCAAATACTTGCCATGCTAAACATATCATTATCCAATCCCCAACAGTCCTGAACAACAATCTCCTTCACAGCTTCGCACACCTTAAACAAGGCTTTAAGGCTCTTTTTATCTCTCAAGTGACACTTCCGCAAATGCAACCTCTCAAGAGCTGGACAACAACCCAAATACTCATCCGGCCCTGGGCTGGGATCAATCCTCTTACACGACAAAAACCTCAAAGTCTTCAAATTCTCACAGTACGAAAGCCCAGCCAGCCAACCACAATCCATCCTATGATCACAAATAGTGAGTTCCTCAAGCATCTGACAGCATTGTCCAATGGCCTTAATCCCATCAAAACTACCCTCACACCCACTTAACTCAAGCTTCACTAACCTCTTACAGCCTTGAGCCAAAATCGTTAACCCAATATCCGAAACCAAAGAACCATAAAATCCATCCACATTTCCAACAAGTTTCAGAATTTGCAAATTCATACAAGCAGCAATCCCGCGCAAGGCATCATCATTACACTTATGTAACTCCAATTCTTGCAGTGCCAAACAATCTTCAGCAAAACTTAACAACCCTATCTCACTGGCACCAACTACTACAAGCTTTCTCAAATTCGGACAACCTGAAGCCAGAACTCTAAGCCCTCTGTCAACAACCTCAACAGGCAACAAATTCTCTTCGCAAACACGCCAATCCGGTAAGAACCCAGAAACCCCAGAATTTATATCCATCTGAAAAACCCTATGACTCAACCGGACACAGCAATCATGGGGTCTAACAGCACATCCATTAAGCAAATCCACATGGGTCAAATTTGGGAATCTTGAAAGTAAACGGCCAGACTCAAGAAACTCCCATTCTAAAACCTTTAAAGACCTAACAAGACGGCCTTGGAGATTAAGCCACCGTTTACAAACAAGTGAATTAGGGTTTCTTTGAGAATCAGGCAATTTAGAGAGGATTTTTAAGAGGAGATCATCACCTAAGAGAAGTGTACGGTCAACATCGGGGAGATTGGAGATGAGGGTTCCTGTTTTGTCTTTGAGTTTGGTGTTGGGGCCTGCTTGTTGTTGCTGCTGTTGCTGTTGATGCTGTTGTGGTGTGGCTGTTGGCGTTGGCGGGCTAGAGACAGACTGGAGCTGCATAGCGAATAAAGCATGTTTCAATGCTTTT